ACAAATGCATGCTCATACTTTTCAGAGGTCCGATATTGTTCTATGAACAATCCTTGTTTTATTGATTGCGTGTAATATTCTCATTTTCTGAGATTGTGGATTTGGGGTTTTCATGAGCTGTAAGCCATAATCATCACAATTATGACAAATCACGGCTTGAACTATCTTGCTTTGCATGTAATGAGTCTATCTCATATATTAGTTTCACCTCTTAAGTTGCTGCACTGAAATAAACGAACTTTTGCACGATATTCTAATTTTTCGAGTTTCACCTGTACTGTGTAGACCAGTACTCTTAGATTTTAATCACAGTCCTCCTTTACAGGTGATTTGTGTACGACTTTCTGCACTATGGTGGCACTAGGGATATAGTTACTGCAGATTGCACGGCGGGGATGACATCTTAGAAGAGTCTTATGTGCATTTCTTGAACCACACTCTTTGCACTTTGAACGATAGCCCCCAAAGGAGAATCATATTGGCAGTTTCCCAACCTTTTAGGATTGGGGTGTGAGAAGGGTTCCATGGACTTTGGCTGTATTGTGGTCGAATATTATATTAGTAGTAAATGTACACATTTTCTACAGCTCTCCTCAGGCCTTGAAACTATTTAGAAGCACAGCTGAGAAGTTTCTTGACACAGAAGCTGACCCAAGGCTCCTTTTCACTCCAATGCTGGATATGTAAACGGATTATGGTTTCATGTGTTGTTGTTTGAGTATTTTTTAACCCCTACTTGAATTAGTGTATACATCACTTGTATCCTTAGAGCCCTTGATCCTTCTTATAGTTGTGTCCCCACACCCATAGTTGGTACTGCCAGAATAGAATACATGAAGGTGAAAAAAACCTTGCGCTTTTACAACCACTTTAAATAAATGTGTACTTTTTTTAAATGAAAATTGCAATGCCTAAAAAGTCCGTGTCTCAAAGAATTTCAAAGTATTGCAATTTTTTTATTATATAAATGAAAAAAAAAAAAACCAAAGCGTTTGGAAAAAAAAATGTTTTTTTAAACGTTCTGGTATAAAACACTCAATAATAAAAAAAAAAAAGAAAAAAAGAAAAAAAAAAAAATCACATTTCTTTGTAAATTTAGGCCAAAACATATTCTGCTATAGGTCTTTGGTAAAAAAAAAAAGAAATCCCAATAAGTGTATATTGATTGGCGTGAAAGTTATAGCACAAATGATGGTATACATACTAGATTTTTTTTTTTTTTTTTTTTTTTTTTTTAGTACTAGTAAAAAAGGTAGAGATCAGCAACCAACTGACATGTCCAGTGACACGAATACAGTGATCAGTGATAATACTGTCACTGTACTAATGACACTGGCTTGGAAGGGTTAACATCTGGGGGGCAATCAAGGGATTAACTTTGTGCCTAACAATGTGTGCTGCTTTTACTACTAGCTGTGGCTGCGTTTTCCCAGTTTGCAGTGACAAAACGCAGCCACGTTACTGCTCAGTGTACAGAGCCCTGTGTTGTTAGTAAACACAGGGCTCCTGTACTGTAATTCCCTAAGCTGAACAGCAGATCCTGGCCATAAATCATTGCCTGGGACCTGCTAATCGACTCCTGCTGTTAAGAATCACCAAACAGAAGGGGGTGGAGAGTGAGTGCCCCCCTACCCAGAAATACTGGATCAGTAAAAAGGCCCAAGTAGAATAAACACCGCTCCAGGTGGTGCGAAAGGATCCTATCCAACACCCACAGAGGTGCAAGCCCCGGCTTGCCTCCGGAGTCAACAGGAAATCAGAACAATACCTAGATTGTAAGCTCCAAGGAGCAGGGCCCTCCTATCCCTCTTGTATTGAACAGTATTGTTGCTGTATTGTCTCCCGTTATATTGTAAAGCGCTAAAACTGTTGGCGCTATAAATCCTGTATAATAATAATTTGGCTACACAATCCACTAAACCGCATGGATTTGAAGCATAGTATATAGATCTATATTCTGACATATGAGCACACAGGCGATATGATAGCGTGGGAAAACGCTAAGGAGTAAGCGCTATGGAGCATGAAACGTGTCAACTTTTTCCCCTGCTATCATATAATCTGCGTGCTCATATGTGATAATATAGATCTCTATACAGGCGTACCTCGGTTTACGAATGTAATTCGTTCTGCGGGACTTTTTGTATCGCAAAAAATTTGTAAACCGAAACACGGTTTCCTATAGGATTGTACTGAAAACAAATTAATCCGTTACGGAGGTCAGAAAAAAAAAAAGTAAAAAAAAAAAAAAAAGTCTTATCTGTTCAAAACACTTTATAAAGTGCACTTTAAAGACAAATACTGTACAGGGACAGAATTGAAAAAAAAAATTCATAAATGCATCGAAAACCAATTAATCCATTCTGGAGGTCAGAAAAAAAGTTAAAAAAAAAGTTTTATCTGCTCAAAACTCTTTATAGAGTGCACTTTAAAGTCAACGGGACATGAATTAAAAAAAAAAAAAAAAAATCATAAATGCTTTGAAAACCAATTAATCCGTCCAGAGGTCTTTAACCATTAGCCGCCCGGCCTATAGCCGTTTGGCGGCCGCAAAAATGCTTGAGATTTCCGGGTGCACGCCATTTGGCATACTCCCACACATGCGCAGTTTTCGCGCTTGCAGAGCCGCACAGTGGCGCGATCTGTCACCGGCCGTGTACCTCGGACACGGCTGATGACAGATCTGAGTATCAGCCCCGTTGCCAGTACCATGTGACCTGCTGTGACCAATCACAGCAGGTCACATGACAGTTGTATACAATAGATGGCTTCATGCATGCCATCCATTGTATACTAGTGCCTAGCTGTGAATGGTCATAGCAGGTCACATGTCATGTGATTAGCTGTGGCCAAATCACAGCTAAGCACAAAAAAAAAAAAAAAAAAAAAACCTGAATGAATCGATGTCATTCAGGTAAATGCTTGCTTATAGCAAAGTAATTCTTTGCTATAAGCAAATTGTGTAAAAAAAATATATATATATACTGATCACTTCCCCAAAGTAGTACAATGTTAATATGGTAACATTGTACTACTTTGGTCATAGTAAAATATGAAAAAAAAAAAAAAAAAAAGTAATAAAAAATTAAAAATAATAAAACAATTAAAAAATATATATATATTTTTTCCATACTGTCACCAGTCAGTGTCCCTGTTCACTGCCATGCCAGTTATATGATGATGCTGTACTGCACTGGTGACAGTATGTAAAAAATAAAAATAGTGAAAATAATTTTTTTTTAATTTTTTCATTTTCCGAAAAATGACAAAAAAAAAATACAACTTCAAAAAACTCTCCATGCCTCTTATGAAGTACGTCGGACTGTCTACTCTGCAAAAAGAGGTCATTTGGGGGATATCTGTACTATTCTGACATTCTTGGACCTCAAGAAATTAGATTGGCTCAGTACTTCAGGATTGATCAATATTCAGATCTATACCATAGTTTGTGAACTCTATAACTTTCCTACAAACTAAAAAATACATCCTAATTTGGGTTATTTTCACCAAAGACATGTAGCAGAATACATCTCGGCCTAAATTTATGAAGAACAATTATTTATTTGCAAACTTTTATAACAGAAACAAAGAAAAAAGTGAGTTTTTTTCCAAATTTTCAGTCTTTTTTTGATAATTTAGCAAAAAATAAAAACCTCGGCGATGATTAAATACCACCAAAAGAAAGCTCTAGTTGTGTGAAGAAAATGATAAAATTTTAGTTTGGGTACAATGTTGCATGACCGCGCAATTGTCATTGAAAGTGAGAGAGTGCTGAAACCTGAAAACTGGCCTGGGCAGGAAGGTGTAAAATTGCCCGGTATGGAAATGGTTAAAGCGTGCACTTTGAAAGGGACATGATAGAAAAAAAAAAATCATAAAAATACACTGAAAACCAATTAATCCATTCTGGAGGTCAGATAAAAATTCAACAAAAGGTTTCTGTTGAAAACGCTTTATAAAGTGCACTTTAAAGGCACAAATACTGTACAGAGACATGATTAAAAAAAATATTAATAAATGAATTGAAAACCAATGAATCCGTTTGTATTGGGAAAATATTTTGTAAACCGAGGCAATATTGTCAATGGATTTTCATTTGTAAACCGGAAAATTGCGCTAACCGAGGCGTTGGTAAAGCGAGGTGCGCCTGTACTAGGCGTCTATAAATCCACACGTTTTAGTGGCGTGTGCCGCCTAATTGTTCTGATCTCCGGCAGTAAAAAGGTGGTGCTGGGCAGGCCACATGTGGGCTTTATATTTGAACGCACTGTACAGCCAGCATACAATGACATCATACATGACGCACATTGCAGATGCATCCACCGTAATGACGGGAAAAACCAGAAGCAGCAAGTGAAGATTAGGGCAGTACAAGGCCTCCATGAACCCAGGAAGGTGCTGAACACTTACCTCTCCGGAGGGCAGCCAGGGAAACGTCCATACGCTCCAGACACCACTTCTACCTGGAATGTCCCATGAGTGAGTGGTCTCTCCCTCCCCCCCCCCCCCAGGCACTGTGGTTCCTCCTGACTCTCACCATTTCCTGTAGTGACCGAGGGACCACGGAAGGAACCATAGCACATGGTGGGGGGATACAGTATATGACACAGACACTCAGCACCCCCCAGTCAGGCAACTATCCCCCTACGAGAGGCAGTTGTGGGCTGTGACAGGGCCTCTTTCATCTCCAACACCTCAGCCATCCATAGGGCATTAGGATAGGAATGCTCCCCATGCAGTCATGGTGTCCTGAGCACACAGGCCTGTTTTAAGTCCTCCCGCCTCTGGCACAATCCCCAATGCTGAAGCCTAAGGTGATCCAAAAATAACGATCGGTATGTACCATACCGATCGTTACCCTATACAGAATCGCCCATCCCCCCCTCAGAGTTCAGCTGAATTCCACATCACTCAGTAGTAAGCCCGACACCGTCCACAGCCCTGAACACACAGAATGCGTGCGCCACTTTCTCTCTCCCTCATCCCCGCTCCTCGTTTACCGGAGCTGCGGCTCATCCGCTTCTCCCACCCGGGTGGTAGTTTCTCCTGATCCGCCATCTTCAATCCTGCGTCAGACTAAGCTCCTCCCTTTGTGACGTCGCCGTTAGCTCGCCCGCCGCTACTGGCCGAACGTTGCGACGACTCTGCGTACAACGCAGCCACGCGTACTAGGAGCCCGCCTCCGACGTCATGACGAAAACAGAGAGTTTCCGCACGGGAGAGAGAGGCGTCCAATCAGACGGCAGAAGGCGAGAAGGGGGCGTAGTTTGGTGAACAGCATGTTAGGTAACATTTTACGCATGCGTACGGTTTTCGGCTAATATATAGAGTTAGCTATTGGATAAAAAAAGTTCTCAAGTAAGTTCCCTGGTGGTCTAGTGGTTAGGATTCGGCGCTCTCACCGCCGCGGCCCGGGTTCGATTCCCGGTCAGGGAAGTAAAGTTTTTATAGGTGTTATCTTTTATATTTTTGAGCTCCAGAAGGTTTTACTTGCTTTATGACCTGGGCAATTTTATTTTCTATTCAGCACTGCGCTACTTCAGCTGGCAATTACACAGTTGTGCAACGCTGTACCCGAAAGAAATTCCTATCCTATTTTTTCATACATACAAAAAGCCTTCTTTGGTGGTATTTGACGAGACACACTAGGTTATTTAATATATTTCATTATATGAATTAAAAAAAACAGAAAACTTTGAAAATGTGTTTTGTTTTTATTTTCTGTTATAAAACTTATCCAATAAAATCAAATGTCTTCAGAAATTGAGGCCAAAATGTATTCTGCTACATTTCTTTGGTTAAAAAAAATCCCAATAATTGTACAGGTGTACCTCAGTTTAAGAATGTAATGCGGTTTCTAGGACGTTTCGTATTGAAAAAATTCATAAAACAGAATGTGGTTTCCCATAGGAATGCACTGAAAACCAATTAATCCGTGCCGGAGGTCAGAAAAAAGTTTTTAAAAAGTCGCTGTCACTATAGGTCAGTGCCGGTTTTTAAATGTAATTACCGGCTTTTGTTTTTCTTCACTATAGCTCAGAGAATCAGCTGTCACTTTTCCCCAGCTAAAAGAAACAAAGTTTCCTTTTAGTTTATTTCCCTAAGTTAAAAGAAACAATGTATCCTTTTAGTTTGTTTCCTGAAATAAAAGAAACAATGTATCCTTTAGGGCTCATGTACACTGCAGCTGATAAACTCACGTTTAGGAGCTGCTCAGCGTTTTTTTTCAGCAGCCCCTGAACTCTCCCTAATGTTCTCCTATGTGTCCATGTACACATCGTCGTTTACAGTCGTTTACAGGCAGTTGAGTTTACAGTCATTTTTTTGAACGCAACAAACTTGCATTCAGGTGTCGATTTTATCAGCGTATCAAATGCAAAACGCTTGCAAATGCAGCTAAACGCATTTATAAGCATTTGCATTTGCAATTATTTTTTAACTCTTCCAGTTCCCAATGCTGTCCAGAGCCTTTTTTCATCATGAAAAAGGCATGCAAAGCATTTTCAAGGTGCTCAGATGGACAAAACACTGAACACAGGATGTTCCTACCAAGCTTGTCACACATTGTAATGACCAATTCACTCCTCAGACCTCTCCCACCCTTGGAAACAAAAGATTTGTTAATGACCATTCACACCTCAAATTCCTCATGTAGACCCCCCCGCCAGGTGACCCTAATGACCCCTCCCTCCTCCAGACACCTTTCCCACCCTTGGAAACAAAAAAAATGTTAATGAGCAACTCACACCTAAGCTAATCTCAACACATACTGCTGTCTCTGCTTCTACTCTCTGTATTTCTCTGAAACAGTCTGAAATAGTTCATAATTTACCATTTTTCAGTGCATTCTGGGCATTCGGGAGGTTCTCCTGTGCTTATCTTTAAAAAAAACGCAAATGCACATAAACGCGGTATGCAAACGCAGCTAAACAGACGTTTTTTAACCTACGTTTTCCAGCAGTCAGTTTCCATCGTTCAGAAACGTCCCGTGTACATGGGGCCTTAGCTCCGGGGAAAGTGACAGCTAATTCTGTGAGCTATAGTGAAGAAAAAAAAAAGCCGGCAATTGCATTTAAAAATCGGCACCGACATACGCTTTGTATTGTGCAAAAAATTAGTAAACCGAGGCATTATTTTCAATGGATTTTCATTCGTAAACCGAAAATTACATTAACCGAGGCGTTGGTAAACTGAGGTGCACCTGTATATTGATTGGTTTGTGTGATGCAGATAACGTCTACAAACTATGGGATACACAGGGGTCAGAGAAAAATGGAAACACTACATGATTAGCAGGTGTGAATGTGAAAGCAGAAGTGATGGAACGTTCTTTTGTTTCCGCTGTGTGATGAGACACCTAGCCAGGGGCGGACTGACAACTCATGGGGCCCCCGGGCAATAGGGGATCATGGGGCCCCTGTGTCCTTGCCCAAACTCAAAAAAGTCTATGAAAAAGGTACCAGGGGCATCTCATGGGGCCCCCTACTGACCCCGGGCCCTCGGGCAGTGCCCTAGTTTCCAAATGGTCAGTCCGCCCCTGCACCTAGCTAACAGTTGTGAAGCTTCACTTTCGCCACTCACTGCATGCTCTGCTAGTAATATGGAGTCATGTCAAAGCTTACTGAGCTTCAAAGAGGGAAAACTGTTGGTGCCGCTGAGCTGGTGCCTCTGCGACTGAAGTAGCCAATCTATTTGCCGTGTCGCAAGGTGCAGTATCAAAGGTTATGACGATGTATACAGTTTCTGGGAAAACATCGTCCAATGAGCATAAGCGCAGTCGACACAGTCAAGTGAAGACTGAGATTGAGCTCTGCAGTCAATTTTGCAGCAGTTGTGTTCTTATTCCGGGTCACAATCCTGCGCAGTGTCCTTTTGTCTCTTTCAGTCAGTTGACCATGATGACGTTATTCCGCTTCTCAGACAATGTTTTCCAGATATTCAGTGGCTTCCAGCAGATCATCAGCCAGTTCTGCAGGCCCTAGAGCTGGAGCGAAGGTGAAAGCCGTGCGTGCAGAGGCCTTATACCTTCAAAAAGAAGCTGCCTTGATGTGGCAGAAAGCAGAGAGAGAAGCCACCTGCTTGAGGTAGAAAGCAGAGCTAAAAGGTAGTATGCGTGTGCTGCAGACTCAGAGGGCGGCAGCATGAGCATCAGCAGAAGAAGGCGTGGTATACAAAACTATGATTGGTTCAGAAGGAGATCCGCTACAAGATCTTGAGGAAATAGCAACTCGCAATTCAGTGCAAAGGACTCAGGAATATATACAGAACCATGATCCAGACCACATTGTGGCAGAGTATGCTTCTATCAAGCCTGTCTCCAACATATTCCCACAGTTTCCCGACTTGACATACTGACAACCATCTCCAGATGTGTCTGTACCAGGGGCAGACTGACCATTAGAGCGCTCGACACTGCCCGAGGGCCCAGGGTCAGTAGGGGGCCCCATGAAATGCCCCTGGTACCTTTTTATAGGCTTTTTTGGGTGTGCTCCGTATTCTCAGCTGTAGGAGAGGAGAGGAGAGGAGAGGAAGCAGCGGGGATTTCAAATCCCCAGACCTAAGAAGCAGCTTTTTCTCCTCTCCTTGCAGGGATGACAGTACGGGCTAGACATCTGATTGGTCAGCACCATCCATGTGACAGTGCTGACCAATAAAAAACCCTCTAGCCCGAACTGTCAGCCCTGCAAGGAGAAGAGAGAAAGTGGTGGGGATTTGAAATCCCCGTGGCTTTCTCTCTTCTCCTTGAACAGGCTAGACGGCTTCTGATTGGTCAGCACCAGGGGCGGACTGACCATTTGGAAACTCGGGCACTGCCCGAGGGCCCGGGGTCAGTTGGGGGCCCCATGAGATGCCCCTGGTACCTTTTTCATAGGCTTTTTTGAGTTTGGGCAAGGACACAGGGGCCCCATGATCTCCTATTGCCCGGGGGCCCCATGAGTTGTCAGTCCTCCCCTGGTCTGTACTGTCCATTAACTGTGAAGCTGTCCCAGCACTAAGAGTACACGTTAAAGAAAACAAAGATGATGTTAACACTCAGCAGCCATCACACAACATGGGTTATCATGTATCCTCCTTCAGAAATGGCCCTTTAGGATCCTCAGGGACTACTGATCTAGCAGAACACCTAATTTTAACAAGCTGCCCCGAGAACTATTGGGCATGGAAGACATCTTTCCAAGGTATCATCAGATTTCGGTCTTAAAGCTAGTGACTAGTGAAATGGCAACAAACTTCAATACCATGCGGGATTAAACCAATAGATCTGCATACCATCTGCAAGATATGCGGATTTCTCAAGACTCTAAGTACAAGGAAGATCATTGTGTCTCTTTCCCACCATTCAGTTTCTTTACCAAGTTTATCGTCAACCATGCAAAGACTAGAAATGACCCAAGCTTCATATTCTCAATGTGCAGTAGCCAGATGTCAGCAAACACAGAGAAGATAGGAGCAAAGCATGGCAACAGACAATTGGCGTCAGTCAGAAAGACAGAGGTGTCAGCCACTGATGAAGATTTACATCCTAAAACTTTGAGAAGAAGTCTATGGAACCAAACAGTTCATGCCCAATTCATTCAAATGTTTGTGGGGTCCATGAGTGTTGGAATGAAGGCCCTGTGCAGGAGCCTAAATTGTGTTTCCCTCCATAGCTCATTGACTATAATATTGAAGCTTGCATGATATCCCTCAAGGAGTTTCTCTGCATCCATTGCCTCTGGGAGATCCTTAGCAGGGGCGGACTGACCATTGTGGAACTCGGGCACTGCCCGAGGGCCGGGGTCAGTAGGGGGCCCCATGGGATGTCCATGGTACCTTTCATAGGCTTTTTTGGGTGTGATTTGAGTGTGGGCGAGGACAGAGGGGCCCCATGATCCCCTATTTGCCCGGGGGCTCCATGAATTGTCAGTCCGCCCCTGATCCTTAGGCCACTCTTTCAGGGGGGATTTGCAGGTTGACAACATCCCTTGTGATAGAGATGACTATTATACTTTAGAGATGTAATATCCTTCGAAAAAACCATGAGGAAAGAGTGATATGTCTTTGAAACACGTCACAAG